CACCGGCGATGGGAGAGCCTGGCGTCGAAGAAGCCCTCGTACAAACGCAATTAGCAAGGTTCGTTGGGTATGTCAAGCAGCGCTGACGAAGGAGAACATGGTGTCGAAGGCTCCTGAGTGCAAATAGGGGTGGACGATCGCGCATCAGGCAATTACGAACCAAACTCTTCCAAATTCCAGCTATGTTCTTGACCTCCACCATCTCTCACTCTGGTTCTCATTGATCGCTCTCTCTCCTTCCTGCATCTGTAAGAATGAGCAACCTCGACGCGGCATAGAAGAATGCCAACGACCCAACCGACCCAAGTTGCCTTGTCGCGTCTTCCACCCTGGCTCAGTCGATGGCTCGGCTACGGAGCGTCTCCTGTACCTCCCCTGACAAACTACATCATTTAGATCTGGATCTTCATTGGTTCCTTTGGCGGACTCGCAATTATGTAGACCAGAAGCTCCTACTTTGTCAACAAGGAAGTCCCGCCTCTCATTGCTTCCTATGTGCGTCCATTCCCTCTCCTGCTTGATGAGAAGGGCTAACCTCTTGGTATAGGGAGCGTCAGCAGTCTTAGTATACAGCGTAACCGACGGCCCCTTCCCCACCCCCCACGCATTCATTGGCAGACATGTCCTCTCTGCCATCCTCAGCACCAGCCATATGCAAACTATTCATCCTCGTCCCTCACGACCGTTTTTATCTCGCTCCAATTCTTCGCCTCGTCATTATTGACTGAAACCGCCGTCGTCCTCATGCAGATGACGGGCACCTCCCACCCTCCAGCAGGCGCTACAGTGCTCATTCCGATCCTGGATCGTCGAGTGTGAGCGCTGGGACGGGATTATGTATGGGTGGTGTTGTTGACGAGCACGATTATGGGTTTGGTGGGGATGGCGACGAATAATGTGAGTAGGGGGTGGCAGGTGTGGTGGATTGGTCGGCCGGTACCGGTTCCTGGGACACTGGTTTGGTCGACGCCCGGAGAAAAGGAAGGCTCGAAGCTGGAGAAGGACTCGGTGGAGAAAGGAGGAGTAGAGACAACGATGGGGACTGGAGGGTTGGCGGTAACGCCTGCGAGAGACTCGACGCTGCTTTCGTCGATGAGGGAACGTGCCGAGGCGAAGGAGGAAGTGTAATAGGTGCGTGACGTCCTTCCTTCCACATCGCGTCTTTCTAATCCAGTTTTAGAGTATACCTCTTATAGGATCCATTAAAATGATGATAGCGATTACGTTGAATGGACTTCTTATCCAGCTATCTGTGAGTTTATGCTTTGGAACTTCGTCGATCGACCGTCCGCCAGACTTGAAAGGCCTCACCTTCCGTTTCACATTGAGTTCGAACACTGGCCGTCCTATCGTCACTTCCCTGTCCTCGTTCCTCCAAGCTTGGGACCACTTCAAAACTCATGTCCATCGACCCTGATTCCTGTTTGTGACCCCTCCCCTTTGTGTTTCACCTCATTAAAATCACCCTAGATTGGCACATACGTACCTCTGCGACATTCATTGTTGTAAAAATTGCACACTTCTTAACGACATCATATGACACGGCAGGAATCGAACCCGCGCCTATTGCTGGATACTCGTTATGTACGTCAAAGCCGGTGTACCGCTCTGTCGTATCTCCCTGGACTGTCGCGTCGTGCTCTCACCTTTCGCGTTAGTGCTTCAAACACATTTACTCAGCAGAGCAAGTTGAAAACATTTCCAAAGGCTGGGGACCACCCCTTTTGCATTACATGTGACCTCATATACTCGGCTTTTTGTATGGCGCTCCGTTTCATCTCTACCCTTGTATACGGCTATCTCATTTCCATTCTAATCTTCCTCCCATCTCATGTCCTCGGGCCTCAATATTCAATTCTCTTTCGCTCGTGTTTCCCCTCAATACCATCTCATCTGGAAAGGGAAGGACGCAGACGAGTTCAATAAAATGAGTCGAAATCAATTTCACCCTAGTCACGACCTCCTCATGGCACGAGCAGGGTTCGAACCTGCGCCAAGTGACGAATTGCAAGTAGATCTCGTATACCTCATGGACTATGGTGCCCTGCAGACATTGTACATTGACCTAGTCAAGTACGTTCCAACTTCTCTGGTTGGCATCGTCTGTATGTGAGTTCCTCTCCCTGTAAAAAGAGGGTCCTGAGATTCTACGACACGAGACGGACTCGAACCTGTGTCAATTGGTGCATTTAGCACCGTCGCGTCCTCTTATTACACCATGGTGTCGGTAATCAGGATGACAACGTTGATTGTGTTGGTCGAGTCAACGCCAGCGGCTCTCGTCGGCTCTCGTCGCAGTCCTTCCTCTTCATTGATCACAATCTCGATTCTCATTCCGCAGCATGGGCTTGTCTCTGCTACTCTCGCTAGAACATGGGGATTCCTCGGATCTCTTGAGCGTCTGACGAAATCGGAGGCGGTGTACGGAAAAGTATAAACAACGGAAGAAAAAACTGTACCGAAAATTTCCATGAGGGCTTTCACTGAGAATCGAACTTGTGAACTCAAATGAATGCATGCGGAGCTGGGCCTACGCTCCAATTGAACCACCGACCCGTCCATCTTCAAGCCCGATTAGCAGTATTGGCATGAAGGACCGCATAAGTTCTTTAAGTATGGTGCTCAAAAAGACCAATCAAGTCAGTTGATATCTGAAGTGCGAAGTCGATTGAATTTGTCAACTCAACCCCAGATTCTTTGAAGCTCCAAAGCATGAGGGCATCTATACCTTCTGCCCACCTAGCGTTTCTTACACCATGAGATTGAAGCGCGGTGTCGAGGGTCGACATTGGTTCGCAATTCAGATAAATTGGGCTCAAAGTCGTTTCCATCTTGAGATAAAATATGCTGTGTATATATTGGGTAAGTCTCCTCTCTATTTCGAGCCCTCTCTTCTCCGAGTCTCTTCATGTTGTCGGTGAGCAAGTTGAGGTAAAATCAAGGTCGTAAGGAATCGAAAGCACTCCGTTTACGACTTGAACAGGATTCGAACCTGAACCAAGCCGGTATGTACGCATTAGTGCTCCCGTACACTCCTCTTGCACTATGGTGTCCAGAGGGCGATGCCAGTTAAATTGATCAACGCAACGCAGGTCCTCTTGTTTACTCCTCAGGCTGGCGCTTGCACACATCCCCTTGGTCGATTGCTTGTGCAGAGTATTTGAGCTCCTTTCTTGTACTCCACGGTTTCTGAGGCGATTCACAAAAACGCAAGGGGAGAAAAAACTCTCGGAGCCCACCTTATGCAGAATTTTAACGAGAATCGAACTCGTGAACTGAAACGATCCCACGCAGAGCTGGTTCGGCGTTCCCAGGGAACCAGCATCTCTTATAACGATTCCCATGACTGATACACACATTGAGATAGAGTGCTGGCAAGGTGGAGCGGCTAGAAGTGAAGCGAGAGGACATCAATAACATCGACAGCACTCCTCGAATCCCTGTTGGAGGAAGAACATAGGGGAAAAAGTCTGAGAAGAGGGAAATATGAACCAATCTTTCTTGTATACGATGAAAGCGCTGGGTTCAAACCCGCACCAATAACCGGGAGCATGCTTGTTGCACCATCATACCAGGATGCTGCTGTATCGTGAAAGCTAAAGCTGTTCCAGATCATGTGTTCCACAGCAACTGCGGCAAGTCCAACTGTCGGGTTCATGGCTGGCAAATGAAGAAACTGAATCTAAATATTCATAAAACGAAATCCACGGGAAGCCATGAGTGCCATCACGGAGAAGCGAACTCGCTACCTAGAATCGTGTCTATTTAGAGGCAACTGTATCTACTTTTTTTTTTCTCTGCCCAGCTGCATACGAGCTATAAACGATATGCCTTCGTCGAGCACACGGACAAAACGAGCTTTCACGGCCAGTATCGCCGATGATATCCATACCTATCATGGACAGCCTTTGGTGAGCACCCTTGCTCGAGTATCACAGATAACAATACCCCTCAGGGATCGCGAGTACCGCTGGAGACGGGGAAGTAGGATTCGTGCAAATATGGTGAGGTGGACGTGTGTCTACTTTCGGACCCTTCCTGTGCAAGCCATTGAAAGCGTGAGTTATCATTCCCCTTCTATTTTGCGCTTATACCCCTTTGGCAGCCCATGCGTAAAATTACTTAACGGAGGCTGCAAAGGGGCAGTGAATCAAGCAAAAGGTGACAAAAGCTTGGGGACTGTCTGGCTGTATATGACACGAGTAGGAATTGAACCTACTTGCCCAGAAGTAGGCTTATATGGGATCATCTGGTGTCTTACTGTTTGACTATCGTGTCTGTTCGCCTTACGAGTCTAGGACCATGCAATAAACTTAGATACATCACAAGGGTGATCAGTGGCGTGGCATTATATAGATAGGGACTCATAAAATGGATAGATCAGAGTCACTCGGGTAGGCCTCGAGTTTTTTGCGAGGCATCAATAGTCTCTAATCACTCACTAGCAACACTAAGGCTTTGTCTGAACGGTGTATCAGCATAATAGGACGCAACTTGAATATCCAAGCAGATACGATAAACCCACGGGTTCCAGTTCATAGGCTGCAGGAGGCTTCTGACGCTCGACTCCTGGGTACATCGCATCGAAGTCTTGAAAGGGGTTTTGGCATGCACTTTGCAGTCAGCTTCGGTGTACGGCGAAAAGACAAATCTAGGTTATTGATATATTGGCTGCAAGGGAAGAAGAAAGGGCTCGCGCAGCGGTTGGGAGCCACTTGGTACGGCTCACCCCTTACCATGAGTGGCCAACGTCTTTCCGCTCCGTCTCGTTTCCCACTTCCCTTCGATCCAGTAGGTTATAAGGTTAAAACAAGTAGGACGTGATGGAAGAGCCACAATTAAGGTGATTTGTACATAGGGTTTGAATACTGCGCGTCCAGCGTAGTCTCTGATGGGTCCTCTCTAATCTTGGGTTTAATTCTGCGTAATCTCCCTCCGCACCCTAAAAATGCGACACTGGTATCCAGGGTGTTCATTCAGCGTCAATAGATCATGGCAGAGACACGATGGCCGAATGGTTAAGGCGACAGGCTGCATTACCTCCGGTCATTGAAAGGAATTTGAGTCTTGTTCATGCAGGTTCAATCTCTGCTCGTGTCGTTCCCTCCGGGGCAGATGTAGATTTTGCTGCTATTAATGATGTATTCCGGTCACGCCTGAGATCTTTGAGCGTTGAGATCCACAGCCCTTAAGCTTATCACTAATGTCGGAACATGCATAAAATAAGATGAGGTGAGGTGGTAGCAAAACATTGAAAATATATTGCTCGTCACCGAACGAACTTGGAGCGACGTGACTACGAATTGAACCTAATGTGGCTCGACTGAGAGGGGCTCGAGGCCCGTGGCAATGGTTGGAATTAGCGCTCATCTCGTGCCCGTTTACTCTTCTCTGTGTAGGGAAAATCATCGTCAAGGGCGCTTGCGTAGTGCATAATGGGGACTCTGGATGTCACCATGTGCTTCGGGGATTGGAATTGCGTTCATACAGCAAGGCGCACGGGTCAAGGGGTCAGCAGGATGCCTGGAATCAGGTTCGACTGCTTAATATCCCTGAATGTGTTGCTCAGAACGTTCATATTTTTTGACTGCATATGATTTACATCTACGCACACAAAGCGGAGACGCTGATAGCCTCAGAGCTTGGGACTGGCCGAGTGCTGTCCGAGACTATATCCTCCCTTTGCTTAGTTAGACTCGGAGGAATATGCAGCCCGTCTTTCAAGCAGATTTGTGAACACTGGGCGTTGAGTAGACTCGTAACCAGTCGTCGAATAATCACCGGTCTAGGCGTTGAGCAAGTATATTGATGTGCATAGTTCGAATCCTACGTGCGTCGCCCCAACGTCGTTCTTCTATCATCACTACTCTGGTATTACATATTTTTATCAACAGTTGCTCGCAGGTAATAGTACATTGCAATATGAGGAGCTTGCCTCGTCAATGGCGTCTTGTTGACGCGTCGCGCAGTGTGCTATCTAGTTGCGTGTTAATTCGCCCTTGCCATCACATAGTCCATGCAAGGACCAGACTTCTGGACTACTAGGAGCATCTCAAGAAGATAGCATGAAGGACACGATGGCTGAGCTGGAGACACTACAGACCCTACAGCTGCTCTGATTAGGCAGGTTCGAATCGCGCTTGTGTCAATCCTGGTGATAATTACTTCATTTTTACCTTCTATTTGGTTTCCTACAATAAGCTGCACCATCCTGGTACTTGTAGGATAAAACGGCCAAGCACGGAATTTTTGCAGTGCATCATTTACATCGGTCATCGATATCGCCAACGAAATTCTCTGTTTATCCAGCAATTTGCCAACTTGAGTTTTGCTACACACCCATTGCGGGTGCTACGAGGTTCCTTGGGGATGACGAGGAACACTGGCGACGGAGAACATGTCGTCGACGCTGTCATTGTACGAAATCGGAATGGACGCCTACGCATGAAACGTCAAATCGTAATTACGAACCAACTCCTCGTCCTCGATACCGCGGGTTCAAAACTGCAGCCATGGTCTTAACCTCCACCAACCCTCCCTCTGGGACACAACCAACCTAAAATGCCTTGTCGAGTCTCCCACCCTGGCTCAGCCGATGGTTCGGCTACAGAACGTCTCCTGTCCCTCCCAAGCCGAAATATATTATCTGGATCTGGAGTTTCATAGGGTCCTTCGGTGGACTCGCGATTGTACAAATCATGTTTACTCGAAGTTCCTACTTTTTTGACAAGGGCGTTCCGTCTCTCATCGCTTCCTACGTACGTCTATCTCGACTTCCTCCTCCCTGAAGAAGGCTGAAATCTTCAAACAGGGAGCCTCCGCAGTCCTCATATACGGCGTCCTCGACGGCCCGTTTGCTCAACCCCGCGCACTCATAGGCAGACACGTCCTCTCCGCCATCCTCAGCACCGCCATATCGAAACTCTTCCTCCTCCTCCCTCCAGACCGCTTTGTCCCTCTGCAGTTCCTTGTGTCATCTTTATCGACAGAAACGGTCATCATCCTCATGCAAACGACAGGAACAAGCCATCCACCTGCAGGCGCTACGGTGCTCAATCCTATATTGGACGATTGAGTGTGAGCACTAGAATGGGAGCATGGGTGGGTGGTGTTGTTGTTGACAAGTACGGTTATGGGCGTTGTGGTGATGGGGGCGAATAGTGTGAGGAGATGGCCGGTTTAGTGGATTGGTCCGCCGGCGCCCGTCCTTGAAACGCTGGTTCAGCCGGCTTCAGGAGGGTGGAAGGAGGGTGGAAAGCTGGGGAAGGCAGGAGCGTCGACAACGATGGGGACCGGATGATCGGCTGTGACTCCTGCGAGAGACCCAACTTTGCTCTCTTCGTTGAGAGACGACGGAGAACATACAGAGCCAAAGGAAGAGGTTTAATTAGGTGCGTCGTATTTGTCATGTGCATCTCACTCGTTCTAACCGAGTTCTAGATGTATACCTCTATTATCATCCAATAGGTTAATCATAGCGACACCTTGAATATACGACGTACCTGCTCCATTCGCGGATGCAAGCTCTTGGACATCACAGGCCGAGCAGACGATTCAACGGTCGTGGCCCATGTACCAGCTTCCTCATCCCGACCTTGCTCCTCCGAGCTCGCCGCCTACTCCAAAGTCCACAATCTCTGTCGCCGTTTTCTCCTCGCAACGCTTTCGTCTCTCGGACAGGTGTGTTTTACCCACAGACTTGCGAGGATGGACCACAACACTATCCCTTGTCGTACCTTGTTCCCATTTGTGTTTCGTGCACTTTTGTGCTTCGACCTACAAGCAAAAATTACCCGACAGGAGTTTCACGGTGTATGCGACGCGACAGGGATCGAACCTGCGCTAATTGGTGGATACCCAATACGGGAGACGTAGTATGCTGTCGTATCCCCTTGAGCTAACGCGTCCTGTTCATGTCTTGGTTACAGGAGGTCAAACTCGTGTGCTCTACAGAGACTAAAGATATGCGGGGGAGGAGGCTTTCAGTATGTCTTTCTCCCTGAGCTGTAATACGGCGAATCGTCTTTCGTTCAAATGCTATATTGACGTGAGTTGGTTCCTTCTAGCCCCATTCTACGATGCCACTGATTGATGGTGGGCGTTGAAGGTGTATCGCCCAGGTCAACTTTCATATCGATTTTTTTAAAAATTTGGGCTGACATCCAAGCTTGACACCGGCCTTTCACCTCTCTAGTCTCGTCTGAGGCCTCGTACAATTGGGTTCAATGGGTTCGGCTACGTCTAGACTGCAGCGAGTGAAGCTAAAGTTGATAAAAACCTCGCAGAAGTGACCTGCAAGTGACATTAGCATGATTCGAACCTGCACCACTTGTTGCTACACCGTGGGGAGACGGATGTATCCTCTTGGGCCCATAATCCTCGAAAATAGGTGTGATTATGACGCTATATCCCAGGTCTGTCAAGAGTTGGAATGGTCCAGGAATTTGATAAAAACATTTCAGGAGAACTGGCATCAACACGAGTAGGACTTGAACCTACTTCTCCAGACAAATGTCTATCCCACCACTTTAATAATGGCTTCTGGTACCTTACCGATAGGCCATCGCGTCATCATCTTAGCGTGGCGTGAAAAAAGCCACGATAGGAGTGGCGGGAATGCATGACGGACGGCGAGACACATGGCAGGCAGATCGTAGTGGTGTGCAGTTATAATAGAATTGAGGATTCTTGCGTTGCATAAGTCGAGTTCTGACTGTCGCCTGGAATTGACTCTACTCAAGTTAAGGAGTTTTGGCCCAACGGTAGGTGACGCGCTCTCGCGTATTCCCGCTACCGGAGGTAGAGGGTTTTACGGTTCCTTTTCGTGACAGATTTTGGCTGGCGTTTGCAAAGTGGCTGTACTAGTGGCTGGACTAGTGACTGTGATCACAACGATCCTTCTTAGGATCCTACTTAGAATCTTCACTTTTGTGGACTCGACCCAGCCTCCTCAGTGCAGCCTGAGTAGTCGATGATTTAGTGATGTGAGAAAAATCACATTATTTGTACACGAAAAAGGGAGGAGGAGGAGGGGGTGATTTCGCCAACAGAGACTGGTAGGTTGATCAGGAAGTCGCCCCTATTGATTTCACTAACCAGGATTCCATGACGGCCTGGGGATCTGCGACGTACCCAACCTGTCAAGCCAATGCCTGCAGTGAATTGCCACCATAAGCCAGCTTCGACAATGCCTTATATGCTAAAAGCCTGCCAGCACCAAAGAGCCATACGGGAGCCAAAGCGAACTTACTGAACGACCCGGCGGCTCAAGAGCCACTACTAGTCTCTGTGACTGAAGGATTTTATGCTTGTTGTTCTCTTGATGCGGGGATAGCGACTTGAGGGGATGTAGAGGCCCCTCAGAACCCTCGAAATTTTTAGACCGATAGAAATAGGTAATAACTGTATAGAGCATGGCTAACATGTGTCGAAGGTTATCAAAATCTTCCCGATAAGATCAAGGTATCTGTTGAAAAGATATACGCGCCAGTTTACAAACCCCCTGCAATTTTTACTCTCCGAACCCCAAGCAAAAAGCGAAGGCAAAAGGATCAGACACTTTTTAAATTTTGAGGTGTTGAAGTCTCCAGGAAGAAGTCTCGCATGCTCGAAGGTTCGCGGAGTAAGGAGATCGCTGGTCAAGCCATATAGACCTTGATAAGACACAAAATTGCCTCGATTCCATCGCTACTAGGAATACCCGTCCCCATACCGCCTATACACATATAGTAATACTATACAGTATTGCTGTCTGGAGAGAGTACACTATACTATTGGATTGGAACCCTACTATAAATTGCGCCTGTGTGGTTCCAGCCTTGCTTTCCCCTGGTAGCGGGCATTGCCGCAAGGCGGCCTTACGCGATTATAGAATAGGGGCCGATCAACGTGGAATTGCCGCTTCAACCAAGTCTGCAGCGATGTTCTCAACATCGACCATCTCTCATTCTGGCTTCATTGATCGCTCTCAGTTCTCCCTGTATCTCTCAGAATAAGTAGTCTCGACATGGCATAGAAGAATGGCGTCATTACGACCCCTCAAAATGCCTGGAAGTGTGATAGGTGTGTCTCGCGGTTTCTCAATGTTTTTTAGATGTAGACCTCAAATACCACTTAATGATAGGTCAATGATAGCGACTCTTTTGAATATAAGACGTAACTGCTCTATTTGCTGATCCATGCTCTCGGACATCGCGGCTCTTTCGAAACCGCCTCACCGAACTCCACCTCCAGGTCGACCACCATTCGATGGCGGTAGTCCAGATCAACGCCTCCCATTGTACTGTCGCTTCTCCGAGATTTGCACCACTCAAAAATCCACGTCCGTCGCTACCTTTCCTATTGGCCACCGTTTTTTGTCTCTGATGAGTATGTCCCAGCTATTCAAACCCACCGGGGAGGCTTGCGTGGCTGCATCACTTGCGTTTCCCACTCTTTTATGCTTCGATCGACAAATAAAAACTACGCTGGATAGATTGTGAGGGCGACATGCGACACGGCAGGGCTCGAACCTGTGCCAATTGGTGGATAGTCAGTACGTCATGGGGAGGTGCTATCTTATCGTATCCTCTTGAGCTAACGCGTCTTGTTCATGTCTTGGGCCCAGAAGGACCAAATCGTTTATTTTACAAAGGTTAATGCCTACCTTTGGATTGTGTCTGAATCTGGCCTCCTTGGCTCAATTTGACGCTCTGCTCATCTCTGCCCCTTCGCTCATTTGTCTACCTGTTGTCTGGGAAGCATTGCAAGTGCTCTGCGATGTCCATCTAATGCTCTATTTCTATCCTCCTCGAGTCTCGTATCCTTTCCTCCAGGGTTCAAACATGGGTCAAGTGACGAATCGCCAGCAAGTCTTGCATATCTCCTAACTTGGGTTATGGTGCCTTGCAGACGCTCCAGTGGCGCTGTACTCGATATGGCTCACAATGCGGATAAATCGAGGGTTAATCGGGTCGGCCTCGCCTTCTTGTTGAGGCATTGATCTTCACTGAAGTTCTCTAGCCGCCCAGCAGCAACAATCGGTTTGGATTGATAAACGATGTGCTGCCATATTAAGGCGCAATAGCCAAGCAGTAACGATAAGCTCACGGGCTCTGATCCATCTGCAAGAGGCTTCTCAGGTTCGACTCCTGTGTTCAATGATCACTGCATCAGTGTGATTCGAAATCGATTTTATTTTTATTTTTATTTTGGCAGCGCGCTGTATGGTCAGCTTTGCGCGTTTATGGTGGAAGGACCAATCTAAGCCGTAGGTATATTGGTTACAATGGGAGAAGAAGGAATAGTTCAGAGGTTCGGAGACATTTGATGTGGCTCGGCCCTTCCCATGAGTCGTCAATGCCTTTCCCCTCGGTCTCGTTTCCCACTTACCTTTGGGACAGTATGCTACAAGGGTTGAATAAGTAATAAGGGATTTCCAAGCTATAATGAAGCCAATATCAGCTGTTTTGGTACATATGGACTGAATCCTGCACGTGTCCATTGTAGTTTCCGACGTGTACTCTGATTTTGATCAAGATAAACAGGTCCCTTCTTCGTGTGTATTTGCTACTGATAAAGGAGAAATCGACAAGAATATTCACAGCGGCATCGCCATTTCGGGACTTTCAGTCCTTGGTTAATCTCATTGGTAATCTTCTTTGACGTCCTAAAAACGCGACACTTCCTGCTCCTGGTATTTACGACCTTCACTAAGCGTGAACAGGTTATAGCAGAGACACGATGGCCGAGCAGTTCATGGGCTCTCAATTACAACCATGTCCCTAACGTCCACCACCCCTCCCCCTGGCTTTCATCGATCACTCCCTGTCCTTCCTCTGCCTCCCAGCTCAATGTGATATGGGACAATACCAACGATGTAGCCAACCCAAAACACCTTGTCGCGTCTCCCAGCATGGCTCAGTCGATGGTTCAGTTACACAACGTCGCTTGTGCCTCCTCAACTAAACTACATCATCTAGATCCGGACCTTCATTGGCGCCTTAGGCGGACTCGCCATTGGACAAATCATGTTCACCCGAAGCTCGTACTTTATCGACAAAGGCGTTCCGCCTCTCATCGCGTCGTATGTGCGTCCATCTCCAAGAACTGGTCTATGAAAAGGACTGAAATTTTTTGTACAGGGAGCCTCCGCAGTACTCATTTACGGCGTTCTTGACGGCCCCCTCTCTCAACCTCGCGCACTGATAGGCGGCCACTTCCCCTCCGCAATCCTCGGCGCCGTCATCTCAAAGCTCGTCCTCCTCCCTCCGGATCGCTTCACAGCTCTCCGATTTCTCGCATCGTCACTATCCACAGCCACCGCGATCGTCGTCATGCAAATGATAGGCACCTCTCATCCCCAGTGAGAAGTCCAGTTTCCCAAGCAATACCCAGGCAATACCCGCGAGCACCCATAGATTCTCAGTATAGCCAGATATACCCACACAACACCCAGAGATGTTCGGCCAATTTCTCCCACGATTTCTTGATCTCTTCCTTCAACCTCGACTGTTTGACTTTTCCTTGATATTGCCAGATTCACGTGTACGCACCCATGTGAGATTGGTGAAATCGGATTTTGGTTTCTCAATCATCCCACGCCTTCGTGCGATTTCGCCTAAGTTCGCTCTGGCGCACTATGACTTGTTCGTATCCACCACCACCACCACCACCTCCTCCTCCTCTTCCTCCTACCCGCCCGCCTCTGGATACATCGCGCTACAGGTAATCTGTCTGCTATGGAAGACACTTCAGAGGGACAAATTCTCTCCTTGTATGCATAGCTTTCGCATTTCGCAGGCCTCGTTGTCTCTGCACCGTGGTTGGCTGCGGTTACCGTATCTCCAACCTCGCCCACTACATCTGCTCGTGCTGTGGACGCTGTACCTGTATGCTTCTTCAATCTTTGGCAAGGCGCTAAACTTAGACATAGGCTCGTGCGAATAGGTATCGCATTGGTCGTCCACCCTATCTCATCGCCTTCGACACCAGCCTCGTCGCCCCGCCTTGCCATGTTCGACTCCTCTCAGCTTCATTCGCCTGGGCTCTCATCGCGATGGTCTCATTGCACCCACGACCTCACTTGCCTCCGTTGTACGTGTAATCTTTTTGGTACGTCGAATCGTAAACTTCTCCTTTCTTAGACTCACGAAAGTATCACAGAATTCTGAGCATTGTATGAATTAACTGGTAAGTTGCTTCACTGCGGTGTTACATGGCCTCGTATTGACGATAACTTAGATGTTTTCATTGTTACTACACAGGAGGTAATTCAGGAGGACGAGGAGATCCAGTGTAGCATCGGCAAAAAAGTCGGTTGAAGGCCTTACCAACTTGGAAGACCTTTCCAGGTGGTAGACACTCTTGGATTGGCTTCAAGTACATAATAGCACTATGGAGGTCTTTGAATACCCACAAGGGGAGCTGTAGAGCTCACAATGTCTGCCAGGCAAAGCGCAGGTCCAGTCAAGGCCTAGCTAAGTTCTTGACAGCACGTTCGGGGCTCAGAAGCGCTGGGTAAGCGCTTGTATGAGATGGAAGTGAGCTCAAGCTCTTGTTAAGAGCTTCAACACATCGGGAAGATGTTTCC